GGATGGCAAGAAGATTTATGGACTTCTGGCAGAATCTTCCAGGATTGGCTGACTCCAAGGCGTTTATTCACCCTTCGAAGCTTGATACCAAACAGTTGTTGGACTACAGTAGGGATGAACTACGATATCTAACAGGCCTTCTTACAGGTCACTGCCATTTCAATTATTATATGCAGAGACTTGGACTGTCGGAAGACAGTGTGTGTCCCCTCTGTTTGGAAAATGTTGAAACAGCAGAGCATATACTTTGTGTCTGCTCCGCTGGGGACCGAATTAAGTTCTTAGAGTTTGGCAGAGCCTTCTCTCACAATCTGACGTGAAAGACCACTCACCATACAAACTAATTGGCTTCGTTGAGAAGCTGGGTTTATTTGGTCGAGTGTGAATAGGTGTTAGCCACAATAAACCATTGCGGGTATCGGTGGAGGGTCGAATATACCCACTCACTTTGGACCTAACCTAACCCTAACCTAACACGTTTAGTTGCTCTCAACCGCACTGCCATACCCGAACGCATCATCACGTGATGCAGCCAACAATATAGTTTCACAGCCGATTACACTCATGCTACCACCAGCCTTGGTGAGCTGCCCATTGTGGTATCAATCACATGTCCATAGAATAGGAGTGTAGTTCCGGAACATGAAATTAAAGAAGCCAACCACTTTGTCGCGTTTGAAGAGACCCAATTATTCAGTAGAAATCAGGGCTACTATGTCAGGCATAAAAGCTTGCTGCAGATCACAGCCAATAAACTCTGATAATAGCTTCGATGCCGTTATCTCCAGCCGTAAATAATACTCTTCTCGACGCGCGTTTCACCAATCAAGTTGGCGTCTTCAGTTTACTTCATCTCTTGAAGACGTCAAACGTCAACTTGGTTAATGAAACGCGCGAACAGTATTGCAGTTGTTATTGGAAAAAGTGCTTGTTTCGGGTTCATTTGAAAAATTTGCTGAACGTTTATGAGCAGTACCAATAATCTTAGAAGTCATATAAATAATCACCCTACAATTTAATTTGTTTCCTAGCACAGGAGTAGCGTTTTCTTTTCTCCACTTAAATTATTCTGCATAATCGCATATAATTTGGTTATATTCAATTCCAATACTTGGGAAGAATGTTTTCCCTTTCCATTTTGCCGCAAGAATTCATCTCGAAATTGAAATATTACAATTATGTAAATATATTTTTTATACATTCCACTATCATAAACATGAATGCATTTCCTTGAACAATGCAATAATGTATTGGAGTGAAAAACATCAGCATACTGAGATTTTTTATTCTCAAGCAGTTCAAGAAAGAAAGCTATAAAACTCGCCAACAAATCTGAGTAAAATACTATTTGAAAGATCATTATAGATATAACAGCACTAAACTAAATATGTGACATTCTCTAAAAAATACTTTAACCAACACAATGACTCAAACGTAATTGTAATAAAACTGAAACATATGTTAAATTAAAGCACTAAGGAGAACACGGAACTTAGGACTACAATAATCGAATTTTGAGGTCAATATTTGTCAATAATTAAATGTGTTATTGAATACATGGAAATCGTTATTTTCAGTACATTATATACAACAGCTTTCTGAAGCGTTTTCATACTGACTAAATTCCATTTAATTAGTGACCTTCTTGACCTGCCAACGTAAACGGGTAGAACTTTTTTCCAAAGAATAAAGAACAAAGCAGTAGTTTCCTGAAGGTGAATTTTACAAACCATCTTTTTGACAGAGGCGGATGAGTTCAATCACGATTATGAAGTATCACATTGCAAGGAGAAAGTAAAATTTTTTTATTTGCTTGAAAATTGATAGATTATGGAATTTTGAAAATTTACTGAATGACCAAATTCAATTGAACTCTTCACCTATTCTAAATAAGTTTTCTGATGTGGAAATTGCTAATTAGTTTTTCACATGTTCATTCGAAGAGTTTGTTGAAACTTTTCTTCATGGCGTTTCCAAAATTTTAATTAATTTTTACCCGAACTCATGTGGACTTGTTGAGGTCGTAGCCTACTTGTCCAGCACAGCACAGCACGGCGCTGTCCGTCGCGTCGCCTGATGGCAACGGGTAGTAGCATCGCCCACTTGTCTAGCTACAACCAGCATATTGAAGGTGCTGTTTGTTCGATTTCAAGGAAATTTCAATTGACATTGAGCGGTGACAGAAACATATCTATCACTAGCAGTACTGACGAAGAAGTCGTCATTATAGTGGCCGTATTGTTGAATGTAGTGAATGTAATAAGTAGGTGAAATTTGTTTTCATGATGTTGAAAATATTTTAATTAATTGTTACCTGAACTCAAGTCAAATAAAATTATTACATAGATAGAAAGTCATAAGAATTCAAATTATCGTTATATAGAGCACAAATTGAGTAAAATTTAGTCAGTATGAAAACAGTTGAGAAAGCTATTGTATAGCGAAACATGTGTTGCGGTTTTGAAAACAGTCTAGTGAAAATCTCACGATGAAGTATTATTTGAATGAATAGATAGATGTTCGACAAACTCGATAAGCTACAAGATTTTACCTTGTTGATATTGAGTATTTTTCTGTTGCATTGCCGTTTGCCATTAGCGTATGCCGAGAGTTAAAGTTATATTTTACAGCAGTGCTACACTGCTGTAAAATATAACTTTCTGTTCTGCAGAAAACTGCAGAAAATATTCTGTACGTACATTTTATTTGTGCAAATTAGAAACTCGCAAATTGACACTTTCACAAAACTATGTCACTTCACTCATTTTCTTTTCCAGCCGGCCCATCATTCATTTCTGTGAATCATATTGAATTGAAATATTTCTTCTAGTAGTTTCGTTGTTAGTAATTAGAGAATCAGATAATTTCAAATAAATGCCAGCAAAAGCCTGTACCAATACTTATACTGAAAATGTATTATTTGAAGACGATTCACTGAAATCATCAGTTATATTTTAATAAGTGTTAAATATAGTGTACAAAACTGATAGATTCATTGAAAATAACTGTAACTTTGGTCCAATTTTGATACAGGCATGGTTCAATAATATTATTCATTTGATGAAAGTACTATCAAGGAATACAATTTTTATATTATATTTTAGGCTATTATTTTTTTTATTTCATGAAAAACAACGATATTTCGTATGAATATTTTTCGGAAACCACTACGATAATGAACTACGTACGTATCAGACCAAACACCACTATAATTGTTTTTCTGTAAACAGGATTTCATCGGGATTTATGTAGACATTGTATGAAACGTATATTGTAAATTAAAGTCTTTTAGGTCTTTACTTGTTCTGAAATTTGTGAAACGAAATGTGATTTTTCATTCGATATATAATATGAATAATATTGTTGAAATGAAACAAGCAGTGCTGAATAATGTCGAAAATGATGATCTTGAGGATTTATAAACAATTCCTAAACTTTTCCCTACTGCTAGTGCTACAAATATGACTATGAAAGTGAACTCTCTATTGAGTTTTTACCATGAAAGAATAAATCAAACTTTCATGGTTTCCAACTCAATTCAATATAGAAATTAGTGATGCTTCATGTTCAGGAAAAATTACATGTTTATAATACAAAATACATGTTAACCCAAACCGGAATTTCAAAAAATATTTGGATTACAAAGCTCCCAAATGTTGAAAAAAGAACATCTTCAATTTTTATTTCTGATTGGATTACTCTATATGCATTTTTTTCAGGAATGTCACTTGATAGTAACAGACATGTGGATCTCTGAGTCATGTTAAATGTCGTTTGTTTCATGTCATTTTGTCATGTCGTTTGTCAACAAAGATTTGGATTTATTGTGTGGTCAGGTATTTTCAGGGGTAGCCTGTTGGCATGAGTGGTTTGTTCTACTTATTCAATCGGCCGTCAGATGAAACGGTTGTATGTGCCTCCAGGCCAATTTTCACTGCCTATCATGCAACCCGTCCTAGGAATTGTACATTGGAAGGTAAGTCTTCGTCAATCCTTAGATCATACAAGTTTCGACTTTTGTGGGTTGTCGTTCGAAAAAACAGAACAGATTTTTTATCGGCTGATCTGATTTCCAAAAATAAAAAAAAATGTTGGATAGAGAAGGGGAACTGGGAATTTTGTTTCTGATGTGGTAGTGGACGGACGTGCTGATAACGACCGTTCATAACGAAGGAGATGGAACACAGTTGTGTTGTGACTATCCGTCGCCAGAGAACGTGCCACCATCAAAATAAATATTTTCTGAAAAGTCTTATAGTTGTTTACAGAGAAATAACACTCTCATTCACGCCGGTTAGAGGTCGGCGTGAAATAGATGTCCACGTAGGAGTGCTAAAATGGATTTACATAACACCTACCCCCATTCATGCCGGTTAGAGGCCGGGATGGACCGGATGTCCACGTGGAAATATGATTGCATTAGTTAGGTATACGAAAGATATCTNTGCTAAAATGGATTTACATAACACCTACCCCCATTCATGCCGGTTAGAGGCCGGGATGGACCGGATGTCCACGTGGAAATATGATTGCATTAGTTAGGTATACGAAAGATATGTGGTCTCTCGAGCAGGAGGCGACTCAATGAAAGATTGAAAGTGTTGTTTTTATAATAAGAAAGTTCAAAAGTTCGACAGAAAAGGGGTGGCAGCATTGCTTTGAGTAAGACCAAGGCGCCCCCCCACCGACGAAGCTCCTATCGCCTTTGATAGGAGGAGGATGAACAAATGCGCCCGAGTGAGAAGCAACGTCCAATAAACCTAGAGAGAGAGGAGGTGGGTACTGTATATATTATCTAGTTTCTAGTTCATCGGCTGCCCAAATAGTCATCTCGAAAAGAAAAGATTCGATCCCTGCTTTCTAATAATTTTGTATGGAAGGCGATCCCAAGTTTTGATGGCTTTACTGACCTATTTGACTTTATTTTTCACTAGTTTTTAATATTATTTATTTCTAGCGCTATTTTTCAATAAAGTGCAGAAAATAATATGTCTACTCACCAGTACAGAACTGTTTAGCACTGCCATTTTGCTGGAACTCCGGAAAGCTAACGTGGTTTTGTTTTCCATCCTGAAATATATCAATTTGACTTGAGCAAATATTAAAACAATATTCATTGTTTGCAGTCAATATTGTCTTCATTTGAAAGTGATTGGCATTATGAAGACAGTGGTTTGTTGGTTTTGTACTGAGATAGAAACATACTTGGAATATCAAAACATTCCAATTGTGAGACAGATAAAAAAAGTTAAATTCATTCAGTTTCATCTTTTTACGAATGTCCTGATTGGGATGGCCTAGATACGATAATTTTTCAATGTGAAAATAATTTCAAACTGAAATGCTGGATTAGTTTTTCAATCTGCTATTTTTATTGAATTTCATTGAAATATATGGATGATTATTCACAGTACGTGTAATAACTAATAATACTAATTATTCGTGTTTCAATGCTCACCTTACTGAATTTTTTGCTGTGCCTCTTGTGATGATGTTTTTTGTCTGCGACCAATCTTCTCATATTAAAATGCATCCTGTAATTGACTTGAGTCGATAGATCACGGTCGTTAACTGCATGTCGACTGTAACTTAGTTTGCGATGCTGAAATATTATTGTAGTTACTTATTCGGTAATATGAAGTGAATCAAGTTTCAAATGTTGTTATTATAGCTTAGTTTACTGAAGAAATGTTATCTTGAAATTAAATATTCATTCTAAAGAATTCAATTAGTATTTCTTGAATTACTGACAATTTTTTGAAGTAGTATTTTATGAGATATACATTTTTTTTGGTAAAGGCACTACTTAAGAACACCCATGATCAGCCACCTGAACTATTCGAAAAGTATGCAAGAATTCGATTAAATTGAAGTTCTAAATATCAAAGCGTGCTGAGTTGTTGAAAAACAAGTTNCCCGATTGGTTACTGCGTAAATTCAAAGTATTTTTCACAAAGACGTCGTTTAAAAAATTTTGTCTGAGCTGAAAAATTTTACAGATACTCATCTCAGCTCTTCGGTTGTGTATTGCTGATGTTCTCGGAGATCACTCTTTAATGTGTGTGGGTTTCTACATTTTTGCAATTTGTCTATATGTGTTCATTGAGGAATAATGAGGATTTTTAAACTTATTTTACCCGTCGCATTACATTTGCCTAAATTTATGATTATAAATGCGAAAGTCACTCACTTAACACTCACTTATTCATCTCTGTTTCTCCGTATTAGTCTAGGAAGCTAAAATTTGGTGTAATGGTGCTTCTTATATCTCAGATACGCACCAAAAAAGGATTTTCTAATATTCAATTGTTTTTTTTTTCGTGAACTGGAAGAAAGTACAAGACACAAAGAAATTATGACTTTTCATAATATCTTCCACTGATTCTAATGACAAATGATTGTTGAATGGAACTGTTCAATAGGTAATTTATCTTAGCAACTTACCCTTCTATAAGGTTTCACCAACTCCTCAGCCAACAAATGATGGATTTTTGCATCAGTGAGATCTTTTTTAGAAGGGTTATATTCTAGTTCCTGCATGTCGATATTCCATGTACTGGAATCCAATTGACTGAAACTGGTACTGAAAAAAAATTACGATTTAATATACAATGTCGAGTGATTTATTAAACACTATTGTTACGGACTTTTTTTACTGAGTTTAGTCAAAGCGTGGGTTATAAATAAACCACTTAACCCTGGATCCGATACGTGGGGTGTGACATACCCCAGCCGTAGAAAATTCCATATAACTGTTCGAAATTGGCGCCCCAGCGTCGGATATATTTTGTAGCTTCCGCATGTAGTCTCCACTCTCATATTCACATCTTAAATCAGTTGTCGTTTGACGTATGTTTGAATCAGACCTGTTATAAAGCGACTGGGGTGCTCGAAACCCCACATGTCTCTATACGTTCCAAAATTGTACGCATTCAAAGAAAACCAAATCGAGTATTTTTTCAAATTATTCGATGAAAGTTGGTTATTATGAGCGAGAAATGGCCCGTCTTCAGTTCTTATGGGATGAAATAGGAAGTGATGATGAAATTGACGAATCTGATGATCTAGATTTCGAAGATCAAAGGCGAAACTGTGGAACCTCCATCCAAAAGACCTAAACAAAATGGTCAAGGAAGGTCTCAAGATTGCCATCGTGCCCGTGGTCGAAATACAAAATACATTTGTTACAAATGCAATAAATTCATATTTCTGGATCATGCAGAAATGTACTGCAAATCTTGCGTAGAAATGGCAAACGTTGATGAAGTGTAACTTTTTATGATTTTCAATACATTTTTTTTTCCATTCTATGTTTTATAATCTGTTTAAACCAGCAATTTATATGTATTCAGTCGTTTTATGTGCAAAAGACTTCTTCGAGTAAATCTATATTTTTTTCCGTTAAAAGAACCCATTGTTTTGGTAAAGACGGAATATAACGATTTATTGCTCGTTTTGGTAAATCAAAAATTATTTTATTGCAAAAAGGGATATTACAGTATAGAATTCTCATAACAACTATGCTGCAATTCAAAAAAATGTTAATTTCAACAGAAAAATCATATTGGGGTCTCACACACCCCACGTGTCTACAAATGTTACAAAAGTCCACATGTCGGACGCAGGGTTA